AACAGCGTTTCATCAACTACACTAGAGACGCGGTGAAAGGATTGGCTGAACAACTGGATGCCACTAGCCTGATGGCATGGCAAAATAGAATAGCACTGAACATGCTCTTAGCAGAAAAAGGAGGAGTATGTGCCATGTTCGGCGCTACCTGCTGCACGTTCATTCCAAACAACAAGATGGTTCAGTTACAAAGGCCTTACATGGCCTTACTGCCTTGGCCAATGAACTCACAGAGAATTCAGGCATCAACGATCCATTTTCCAAAATGCCTGACTCCTGGTTTGGGAAATGGTCAGGATTGGCCAAATCCCTGCTAGTGGCCGTGACCACAGCTGCAGGACTTTTGGTAACTTTGGTTGCTGCATCATTCCATGTGCGTGAGGCCTTCTGAAGAGGCTCATCGAAACGGCCCTAATGAGAAAGGACGCAGGAAACGTATACAAGATGATGACGTCTGTTGAGCAAGACGACGATGACGACAACACATATGAAGCCCCATCAGATCTGCCCCTAGAAACCTATGATGTCTGATTGCTCTGTTACATGATTGGGCAGAGCTGATGTACTGGTTGACCTCTCGCTCTGCCCACTACCTGTCCCCTCAACTGACGTAAAGTCACTGGGGCAGAAGAGCAAGATCCTGTATCGTCTACAACTGTTTGTGTTTTCTGCAACTATGTAACCTCATTAATCATTCTTATTAATTGTCTTCATTTGATCATTAGTTGCTCAACCATTTAGTTATTCAAAAATGTATTCTGCATCTATTCTTCAGTTATTACATTCTTATACTGTGTGTACCTTTATTTTTTTTAATCCTCATTTAATCTCCCCTTGGGTGCCACTTCCTTGTGTCTGAGGACCCTAAGCCATTGGCAGTCATTTCCTTGTTACATCTCCTTGAGTCTGGCTTGTTTTAATACCGGTTGCCCAGTCGCAAGGAGTTGGGGCTTGGACACTGGTAAAAGCTATTAAGGCTGAGATGGGACCGGAAGGGTCCACCTTGGGACCGGAAGGGTCCTACTTGGACAAAATGGCTTCTCTGGGACACCTGATCTATTGTGGTCATTTAAAGCTCATATAATGGGGTCATAAGGCTTCATGAGATAGGACGGACCAATTAAGCTGTGCCCCTTATTACTGAAACTTGCCCATTCCTTTCAAGTTCGCCAGACTCCTAATCTGGACTACGAATTTATTTAACGTATGTCAGTTTTGTTTATTGTTATTATATGAGGTCTGGGGACACAGGGTGTGGTCACCCTTGAGGAGGGAATATGGATGTGGATAATCTTAGAAATGGGATGATTTAGTCTTAGAAATGGGATGATTTAGTTTGACATATACTCACAAGTAAGCCTTATACTCACAAGTAATCCTTAAGTCTTATATATCAGTATACTTATGATACTCACCATATATTATTCATGAGAAACCAACAAAATTTTGTGGAGCTCATGGTTAGGGAACCATGAAACGGGGGAATGTGGAGTTTTAATAAAAATTTTCCTTAAAATTACTACGTTAAGCATTAAGAGAAGTATAATCATACAAAGCTGATTAACAAAAAAGCATACTCATCCTCGCACAAAGGATAGGCCTTGAATTGGGTTTGCTAGGGTTTTTTTTGCGTTGGAAAGTCCTTGAAACAGACCACCAAGAAAGCCGGTAAGGACCTGTAGAAACCGGTTTTTGGAAGCCGTTAATGAAGCAAGGGTTAAAGGGCCTTGGGAACCGCAAGTGATTACATCAGATTATATTTAGAACAAAATCTCAGTACAGAATATTTTAGATTATTTTAGAATTTAAACCTCATTATGTCGGGGCTTTGGGCAAGGAGAAAATAGCTCTTGGTCCCGACAGTACAGTGCAGTGAAAGTCTTGTTCGATGCGTGGAAAATGGCAAAAAGGAGTGACTGCATTTGGCCATGCCGAAGGCCATAGTGTGAAGGAAATAGCTGAATTTGCAGGTGAATCGAGTGTATTGTCATACCGGTTGATCAGCAATGGCAAAAATCCTAGTCTACAGGAAATTCTCGTCAGAATTGTGGCTGAATGACAAAGTTGATGGACAGGGACGTCGACTTATTTCATGGGTTGTGAATAAAAATTGCTTCACTTCCAGGCAAGGATTGCTTCTAGAAATCAATGCAGGTTCTTTACAACCACTCCTTAAAGAATGGTCCGCAGGGAACTGCATAAAATGAACATACGGAGCAGAGAGGCATGCAAGGGGCCTTTGCTCACTTCTGCTCACAAAGTTGCCGGTTACAGTGGGCAAAGAGACACAAACACTGGACTGTGTTATGTGAATGTGTTATCTGGTCAGATTAATCTGGTTTCTGCCTGTATGTGAATGATGCTCGGCGTCATGTTCATCGTGGACCTCAGGAAGCCTTCAGTGAGGACTGCACACAAGGTATGGTTCAAGTCGGAGGCTGTGTGATGTTCTGGGGGTGTTTTAATTACATGGAAATGGGTCCTTTGGTTGAGGTGACAATAAATTTGACCCACAGTGCCAACACTGAGCTGATGGATAAGCAGCCTTTTGCTCATCATCATACGAGGAACATAACATTCCTATCCCTGTATTCCAAGATGACAATTCTCACGTTCACAGGGCTGCAATTGTAGCTGATTGGCATGATAAACATTGAAGAGCGTTCACACATCTGGACTGTACATAAACTAAAAACTCTTACAGTGCTAAGAAAAACGGTCAAACATGATTTTTTTTATTTATGTGTTTACAGATTTTTTGTCTTGAATATTGAAACTTTGTGTAAATAATCAGGGCTGTCATTATTTTTAGGTAATCATTTTTATAAAATCATTTCCTTGACATTTCCAGTCCATTTTCCATGACTTCCACACATGCTTACATGCTTCTCATGTAATGTCATGTTAGAATTAGACTTGTCTTGCTTGTGTTCAACCAGTCAGTAAAGGGTCATTAAGAGTTGTGTTGAAAACTTTAATGTTAAGGATGTTGGAAGATGCAAGTATACTTCTTGTATGACCTTCTCAATATAACTGCATCACACACCCAATTCATATGTTTTGTTTATTGTGACATAAGGGTATGATTGTGAAAGTTAATAATAGTGGAAAACTGTTTTGCTTAGCTTACATCAGTGATGCACAACTCCAGTCCGGGAGGGCTGATGTCCAGCAGAGTTTGGTGATTTACCTGTTCAAACACATCTGATTACACTCATCTGTTAAGTGCCAGGTTTAGTGGATGTTTTTGAGAAGGGCAATTACCAGACTGTGCTGGACACCGGCCCCCAAGGACTGGAACTGTGATCAGTTTACAAAATTGCTATCAGGCAATTATTTAATAACTGTGATAGGCAACAGAGTAGACTAGTTTAGTTATCAAAGAAAACTGCCAAGTTCAGAATCGCAACAAGGTAATTTAATATCCTTATTTGCATTCCTGGAATGAAATATAGTGCTAGGAAAGAAAAGTGACATAAAGAAAGCAAGAAACCAAGTGAGAAAAATAAAAAAGAGAGAAAGGAAGGAAGAAGGAGAAAAAAGAATGAAGGAAAAAGGAAGGGTGGAAGAAAAAGATAAGAAATAAGTAGAGAGAAAACAACAAAGAAACAGAGAGAGACCCTTTAAACAAGCAGTCATTCAGCTTCAAAGACTTTTTTATATTATCAGCTGTAACAATTGGAATTCAAATTGTCACAGGATTCCACTATACAAGTCCATGGGAAAATGAACTTTTATTTAAAATGTTTTAGTATCATAAGTTGTGCTAAAGTAGCATAAGTAGTGTTATAAAAATAAAAAAGAGAGTACACATCACACTGACAATAGCTACTAAATATAAAATAAACTGGACTGTAGGAAAAATATTTTCTCCTTAAGGAAATACAGTGGTTGCTGTAAAAGAGGAGTGCACATAAGCAATGTTGTAAAGAATGGGTCATAAAATTCAAATGTAATAAAATGGGAGAAAACTAAAGGAAAGAAAAGAGGAGGCATAAGTTTGACTGATTTGCAGAGTTAAAATATGTCTGAGACAACTTAATTAATTCACTCATTGAGCCTATAACATCACTGAAAATGTTAGTGTCTGGCAATCAGCTGGGTCATTTGGAGGAAGGAAGAATCAGCAATCAGCATTCTATTCTAGAATAGAATTTGCACATGCCATTCTGCAGGTTAAGCTACATTAAGTAGATAGTGATTTAAGTAGATACATTATCTATATTGTAGGTGACCGTAAATGCAGTCAGTAAAACCTAAAGGAGATAATACAGACAGGAAATCCAGGGTTCCAGCCATATTTAGTGACAGATAGGTAACTCAGGCACCAAGTTGGGGCACCACAGTGAATACTTGCTTAAGTTTCAACTAACTATGAAAAGAATGTTAGTCCTCTGACTGTACATTCACTGGCCACTTTGTTAGAAACCAATGACTTGTGCTTCCAATCACTGGCCACTTTATTAGAAACCCCGACATTGTGCTTCCACTTACTGGTCCTTGTAGTTCCACTGTACAGGTGTATAATTACAGACTGTATTCCATCTGTTGCTGCTCAATTCTTCTCCTAAACGTACACCAAAGAGATCCTAACAGAATTCTGATATGTGCAATAATTATGGATTTTAATCTGTTCTTTTAAAATAATTTGAAGCACTCAGAGAATGCTGTCCACTGCAGTTTGTTGTCAGGTCCTGACACCTATAGAATTAAAAAGCTAAAAACAAACTTCTTGGCAACACGGACATCACTGCATTATGAATATTACATTGTGGGTATTTGCCTATTGTCTATATTATCTGATGAATCAAATTGCTAAAAAATATTGCTAAAAACATCACAGTACTAATCAACAGATGAGTTACATTCTCTAACTATACACCAAGGTTACTAGATGAGTGACTAGGCAGTAGCTAAACTTTATTTGTAATGTTTTAACTGATCAATTGTAAATGTTTAAATATTAATGTATGCCATATTAATATAGATATAATACTCACCGAGCTTTCCTGCAGGCAGTCACAGCTGGGATCAGTCTCCTATAACCCTCCTCTGATATGTTGTATTTCTTCAGGTCCAGCTCATCCAGAACCTCCTCTGAGCTCAGGATCATATAGGCTAGAGCTGAACACTGTCCAGGAGAGAGATTCACCCCTGAGTGTCTCTCTGAGTTTAGATACTCCTGAAGCTCTCTGGAGAGAGACTGGTCATTCATTTCAGACAGACAGAGGAACAGATTGATGGATCTCTCAGTGGAGATGGGATTTTTTTTATTTCCTTTGATTAGCCCCTGGATGTGCTCTCTGGTTGTCTCTGAGCTGCGCTGTCTTGGTGTCAGTAGACCCTGTAGGAGTCTCTGATTGGACTCCAGTGAAATGCCCAGCAGGAAACGGAGGAAAAGATCCAGGTGTCCATTCTGACTCTTTACTGCTTTATCCACTGCTCCCTTCAGCACCTCATTCAGTGAAATATCCTCAGACCTCTCTCTGTACCATGAGTTTAAAAACTCCAGTGGATCATTCTCAAATCTCTCACTGTCCAATGGGTTTAACATCTGCAGTACTGTCATCTTCTTGCTCTCATAGCAGTGAAACACGTAAACAGCAGCCAGGAACTCCTGAAAGCTCAGATGAACAAAGCAGTAGACCTTCCTCTGGTAAAGCACACATTCCTCCCTAAAGATCTCAGTGAAAATCCCAGAATACACTGAGGCCTCAGTGACATCAATGCTGCTCTCTCTCAGGTCCTCTTCATAGAACATCACATTACCCTTCATCAGCTGTTTGAAAGCCAGTTCAGCCAGTTTCAGTATTATGGTTCTGTTGGACTCCAGCAGGTTCTTTGGGTCTCTCTCATCTTTCTCCTCATACTTCTCATTCTTCATGTTGGTCTGAGTGATCAGGAAGTGTGAGTACATTTCAGTCAGAGTTTTAGGGATTTCTGTATTACGCTGTTTCATGAACCTCTGAAGAACAGTGGCTGAGATCCAGCAGAAGACTGGAATGTGGCACATGATGTGGAGGCTCCTCGCTGTCTTAATGTGGGAGATGATTCTCTGGGCTTGTTCTTCATCACTGATCCTCTTCCTGAAGTACTCCTCCTTCTGTGGGTCACTGAATCCCTGAATTTCTGTCACACGGTTCATGTATTTAGGAGGGATCTGATTGGCTGCTGCTGGTCGGGAGGTTATCCAGATTAGAGCAGAGGGAAGCAGCTCTCCTTTGATGAGGTTTGTCATCAACACACCCACTGATGATGTCATGGTGATGTCAGATACTTTCTCACACTGTTCAAAGTTCAGTGGAATTCTGCTTTCATCCAGACCATCAAATATAAACACAGCTTTGATCTGATCATAAATCTCTGGGTCCAGATCTTTGAGCTCAGGATGGAAGTCACACAGAAGTCCAAGAAGACTGTATTGATCATCTTTAATCAGGTTCAGCTCCCGGAACGGAAGCACAAACATGAACTCTACCTCCTGATTGGCTTTTCCTTCAGCCCAGTCCAGAATGAACTTCTGCATAGAGACAGTTTTTCCAATTCCAGCGATGCCTTTAGTCAGAACAGCTCTGAGCGTCTGCACTTTTCGTCCTTCATCATTACTTTCTTTGTGTCTGAGAGTGTTAGTCACCCCATCACCCACCCCAATGTTCTCTTCCTCTATTTTGCCTTCAGGACCTTGTAGACGTTTAAAGATGTCTAAGCAGTTGATTGGAGAGTCTTGTAAGTGTCTCCTGGGTGTTTTCTCCATCTGTAGAACCTCATGTTCTTCATTCACTCCTTCACTCTCTCCCTCTATGATGTAGAGCTTTGTGTAAATCCTGTTCAGGAGAGTTTTATTCTCTTCTGTTTTGATTCCCTCAAAGAAGATCTCATACTTATTCTTCATGCTGGTTTTGTGTGCCTGTAAGACTCTGTATAGAACATTATCTGCTGGTTGATATGAATTCTTTTCTATGGATGCTTTGTGTGGATGGAGAACTGGATGTGTTCTAGATCGCTTCCTACACTGAGGACAGATGAAGGTCTCCGATAAAGCAGAATGGTCCCAGAAACTGCTGATACACTGCCTGCAGAAACTGTGTCCACATGTGATTGAGACTGGATCTTTCAGAAGGTGGTCACCTAGTCCACATGTGGACTCCTGGAGCTGCCTATCAGTCCTCCAGCTAAGAGAGACAAAGTAGAAGAGTGAATATAAGTTTCAGAGAGACAGAAGAAATGTCACACAAACACAACTAATAATGAGAATTTCATTAAAATGTTACCATGTTAAATTTGCAAACAGAAACTACAGAAACTGCACAAGTATATTAATAAGAATAAACATATAGAACTAAGGGTGACTTTCAGTGAAACACACTGTGACAATACATGTCTGTTTTTCAGGCTGCATTGCTCTCCAGTGTTTAGCACACATAGAACACTGAACACATAGATCCACTGTTAGTAGACTTATTGAAAGAGGAACCACCACAGAAGGTAGGAACCCAGTCTAACTCTGTAAATTGCTAAATGTACTGTGCTGTGGAATAGGACTGGCTCTGTTTCTTGTTCCATCATTTATGTACTTAATTCCTCTTTTTTCCTAACAGAAATTTCTTGGAGATTAGGAATTAAGCTGAATTCCTGACCTAAAAGCAAACCTCTCAAAAGCTAACCTTCTCAGCTAATTAAAACAGTTTTACTGTTTATTAGAGGTCCAAGCACTGTACTGATTGTGGAGAAGACACCCTAAGTCATCCAAACACCAAAGATGGAGGGTATGTGTAGTGTTCCCCCACTACTGAGGCACGTAAAATGACTCCAATTGGCCTCATGGTGGTACTATATAGCAAAATTTAACTTTTTTGGCTGATGTGTCCTGAACCATGTGGCCTACAGTGAAAATCCTTGCTTCTACATAATCCTTGGTTTATTCCCCATAAACTCCTCATTGGGTCTTTTAAGCTCCACCCTGAAATTGTGACACAACTACATACAATCCTCTCGATGCAAGTGGTTTGCTTTGTAGATTACATTTATTCTTTTAAAAAGGCTACAATCTACAATAGTCTATCCAAGTGCTTATTGGGAGGACACAGGCCGCCAGTCCATTGTTACATATTTTATGTATTTATATGTATTTTATATATTTATATATATTTCATGATTCAGGTTTAACAAAATGTATATTCTAAGATTGCTGCTGTTCCAACTGTTTTAGAATGGGCTATTGTATTTTAGAATGTGTATTTACAAAAACGATAACGTTTATGAGACAATACATTAAATATTTTGTCTTACTGTTTTCACTCAAGTACAGGTCAAAGTAAATTTATACATCACTGTTTTCTGTTTTTGTTTGCAATTACTACTGTCACAACTTGTTTTTGTATTTGGAACTGTATGTTACATAATCTATGCATATTTCAAACCATTTTAATGATGCAATGTTTAAGTAGTAACAATGTCCAATTTGTAGATGTATTAAAAAAGAAGACCTGTTTGAAAATAATCTTAAAGCAACGTATGTTGACATCAATGCTATTTAAACACTGGATTGGATTTACATAGTACAGATACTTTTATAATGCATGTGTGCATTATAAAAGCATAACTATAACTATACAGCAACTTCAGTTAGCCTGTTAGAGACAACTATAACTGTACAGCAGCTGCAATTAGCTTGTTAGAGCTGACTATAACTGTACAGCAGCTTCAGTTAGCCTGTTAGAGCCCAATATAACTGTACAGCATCTTAATTTAGCCTGTGACAGCTGACTATAACTATACAACGTCTTCAGTTACACTGTTAGAGCTCACGAAAACTGTACAGCAACTTCAGTTAGCCTGCTAGAGCTGACTATACCTGTAGAACAGCTTCAGTTAGCCAGTTAGAGCTCACTATAACTGTACAGCAGCTTCATTTAGCCTGTTAGAGCTCACTAAAACTGTACAGCAGCTTCATTTAGCCTGTTAGAGCTCACTATAACTGTACAGCAGCTTCAGTTTAGCCTGTTAGAGCTCACTATAACTGTACAAAATCTTCAGTTAGTCTGTCAGAGATCACTATAACTGTACATCTTCTGTTAGCCTGTTAGAGCTCACTATAACTATATAGCATCTTAAGTTAGCCTTTTAGAGCTCACTGTAACTGTACAGCAGCTTCAGTTAGCCTGCTAGAGCTCACTATAACTGTACAGCATCCTCAGTTAACTTGTTAGAGCTCACTATAACTACAACATCTTCACTTAGCCTTTTAGAGCTCACTATAACTGTACAGCATCTTCACTTAGCCTTTTATAGCTCACTATAACTGTACAGCATCTTCAATTAGTCTGTTAGAGCTCACTATAACTGTACAGCATCTTCAGTTAGTCTGTCAGAGATCACTATAACTGTACAACATCTTCTGTTAGCCTGTTAGAGCTCACTATAACTATATGGCATCTTTAGTTAGCCTTTTAGAGCACACTATAACTGTACAGTAGCTTCAGTTAGCCTGCTAGAGCTCACTATAACTGTACAGCATCCTCAGTTAACTTGTTAGAGCTCACTATAACTTTACAACATCTTCACTTAGCCTTTTAGAGCACACTATAACTGTACAGCATCTTCACTTACCCTTTTACAGCTCACTATAACTGTACAGCATCTTCAATTAGTCTGTTAGAGCTCACTATAACTGTACAGCATCTTCAGTTAGCCTGTTAGAGCTCACTAAAACTGTACAGCAGCTTCAGTAAGTCTGTTAGAGTTCACTATAACTGTATAGCATCTTCAGTTAGCCTGTTAGAGCTCACTATAACTGTACAACAGCTTCAATTAGTCTGTTAGAGCTCACTATAACTGTACAGGATCTTCAGTTAGCCTGTTAGAGCTCACTAAAACTGTACAGCAGCTTCAGTAAGTCTGTTAGAGTTCACTATAACTGTACAGCGTCTTAGCCTGTTAGAGCTCACTATAACTGTACAGCAGCTTCAGGTAGCCTGTTAGAGCTCACTATAACTGTACAGCGTCTTCAGTTGGCCTGTAAGAGCTCACTGTAACTGTACAGCAGCTTCAGTTAGCCTGTTAGAGCGCACTATAACTGTACAACAACTTCAGTTAGCCTGTTAGAGCTCACTATAACTGTATAGCAGCTTCATTTAGCCTCTTAGAGCTCACTATCACTGTACAGCAGCTTCAGGTAGCCTGTTAGAGCCCACTATAACTGTACAGCATCTTCAGTTAGCCTGTTAGAGCTCACTATAACTGTATAGCAGCTTCATTTAGCCTCTTAGAGCTCACTATCACTGTACAGCAGCTTCAGGTAGCCTGTTAGAGCTCACTATTACTGTACAGTATCTTCAGTTAGCCTGCTAGAGATCACTATAACTGTACAGCGTCTTCAGTTGGCCTGTAAGAGCTCACTGTAACTGTACAGCAGCTTCAGTTAGCCTGTTAGAGCGCACTATAACTGTAAAGCAGCTTCACTTAGCCTGTTAGAGCACAATAGAACTGTAAAGCAGCTTCAGGTAGCCTGTTAGAGCTCACTATAACTGTATAGCAGCTTCATTTAGCCTCTTAGAGCTCACTATCACTGTACAGCAGCTTCAGGTAGCCTGTTAGAGCTCAATATAACTGTCAGCATCTTCAGGTAGCCTGTTAGAGCTCACTATAACTGTACAGTATCTTCAGTTAGCCTGATAGAGATCACTATAACTGTACAGCGTCTTTAGTTGGCCTGTAAGAGCTCACTATCACTGTACAGCATGTTCAGTTAGTCTGTTAGAGCTCACTATAACTGTACAGCAGCTTCAGGTAGCCTGTTAGAGCTCACTACAACTGTAAAGCAGCTTCAGCTAGCCTGTTGGAGCTTACTATAACTGTACAACAGCTGCAATTAGCCTGTTAGAGCTCACTATAACTGTACAGCAGCTTCAGTTAGCCTGTTAGAGCTCACTATAACTGTAAAGCAGCTTCAGGTAGCCTTTTAGAGCTCACTGTAACTGTACAACAGCTTCAGTAAGCCTGTTAGAGCTCACTATAACTGTACAGCATCTTGAGTTAGCCTGATAGAGCTCACTATAACTGTCAACATCTTCAATTAGCCTGTTAGAGCTCACAATAAATGTATAGCAGCTTCAGTTAGCCTGTTAGAGCTCACTATAACTGTACAGCAGCTTCAGTTAAACTGTTAGAGCTCACTATTACTGTACAGTATCTTCAATTAGCCTGCTAGAGATCACTAAAACTGTACAGCGTCTTCAGTGGGCCTGGTAGAGCTCACTGTAACTGTACAGCATGTTCACTTAGCCTGTTAGAGCTCACTGTAACTGTACAGCAGCTTCAGTTAGCCTGTTAGAGCGCACTATAACTGTAAAGCAGCTTCACTTAGCCTGTTAGAGCACAATAGAACTGTAAAGCAGCTTCAGGTAGCCTGTTAGAGCTCACTATAACTGTATAGCAGCTTCATTTAGCCTCTTAGAGCTCACTATCACTGTACAGCAGCTTCAGGTAGCCTGTTAGAGCTCAATATAACTGTCAGCATCTTCAGGTAGCCTGTTAGAGCTCACTATAACTGTACAGTATCTTCAGTTAGCCTGATAGAGATCACTATAACTGTACAGCGTCTTTAGTTGGCCTGTAAGAGCTCACTATCACTGTACAGCATGTTCAGTTAGTCTGTTAGAGCTCACTATAACTGTACAGCAGCTTCAGGTAGCCTGTTAGAGCTCACTACAACTGTAAAGCAGCTTCAGCTAGCCTGTTGGAGCTTACTATAACTGTACAACAGCTGCAATTAGCCTGTTAGAGCTCACTATAACTGTACAGCAGCTTCAGTTAGCCTGTTAGAGCTCACTATAACTGTAAAGCAGCTTCAGGTAGCCTTTTAGAGCTCACTGTAACTGTACAACAGCTTCAGTAAGCCTGTTAGAGCTCACTATAACTGTACAGCATCTTGAGTTAGCCTGATAGAGCTCACTATAACTGTCAACATCTTCACTTAGCCTGTTAGAGCTCACAATAAATGTATAGCAGCTTCAGTTAGCCTGTTAGAGCTCACTATAACTGTACAGCAGCTTCAGTTAAACTGTTAGAGCTCACTATTACTGTACAGTATCTTCAATTAGCCTGCTAGAGATCACTAAAACTGTACAGCGTCTTCAGTGGGCCTGGTAGAGCTCACTGTAACTGTACAGCA